ATTTCGCCCCCCCCCCCTCCGTGTGCTCTTGGCTGAACTATGGGCCAAGCCCAATGCAGTTTTCTGGCTACACCTTCCGTTTTTACTTTCCTTCCCCCTCCCGTGTGTGGTTTATGTTTGTGGGTTTGATCTGGGCCTTTGGCTGGGTATTTTACTTACTTTATCATCCCTTGTAAACATACACCCCCCCCCCCCTTGTATTTTGTTTTTTTTCTTATTTTCTTTGTTTAGAGGAAAAAGATATGAGCAAAATATTGAATAAGAAAAATAGTAAAAAATATAGAAAAAAATATATGGAAAATATTTGAAAAGAGGAGAAAAGAATATTGAAAAAAATAGAAAAGATTATGAAGAGAAAATAGAAAAAGAAAGACATGAAAAAAGAAGAAAATAGAAGTATGAAAAAAGAGAAAAAATATTAGTATAGATGTAATATTTTTTAGAGTATATTTTCTTCATGGAGTTTTATTTTAGGGATAGTTTAGAAGTCCACTTGTTAGGGGACTGTTTTCCATTTGATTTTTCAGGATAGGATAGGATAGTATTTCCTAGGGGTTTATTTTCAGTATTCAATCATTGTAACCATTTTTCAGAATGTTAATAAAACGAGATTTGAGTTATGGTCCCGAAGTAGCCGAACTACAGCTGCTCTGATTTCTCGTACCAGACGAGAATATGTAGGCATAGGATGCGATATCCTAGCGAGCACACTAACAATTAACCTTTTGTTCTCTCGCTGCTGTGCGATCGAGACTTTTCCGCTGAAGACTGATGTTACCCTTTTCTCTCGCCCGAGGGCATTCGAGACCAGACCGTAGTTTCTAGGTTCCCGTACCTTTAAAACCAGATTATTTCTCACTGTTGTGTGAGAACACCCAGCCTAGCCGTAGTTAACCTGAACTACGTAAGCTCTGATCTTCCATGCAGTGTGGAAGTACGTAGGCACAAGACGCGAGGTCTTGGCGAGCCAATTTCCCCGTAGTCCCGAACTACGTTGACTCTGACTTTCTCTCTTGAGAATACGTAGGCATAGAGTGCGACGCTCTATCGAGTCAATTCCCTTCCGTTTAGATCTAGCAGCCGTAGATAGATTGTTTTTGCATCCTTTAGGCAACCCAAGCAAGCGTGGATCCCATCGAGTACGATGGACGTGAGGGGTGCTAATACCTTCCCCTTGCGTAACCGACTCCCGAATCCAGGTTTTTGGTTGCGACGACCATACCTTTTCCCGTTTTTTGTGAGGTTTACTTCGAGCGTTTCCTTTCCCTCCGTTGGGATAAATAACGCACGGTGGCGACTCTTCTGTCAGTCGGCGCCGATTTTCGCAGTAGCGACAGACAGCCGAAAATCATGATGGGGTACAAACCATCTTTACCAAACTATAAGAGCGTTCATCGACACACTGAGCCACAACTTCACACTTGCAGCATCCTGGAGAAGCACTAGCTTCTCCCCCACTTGAAGCATTCTCACTTCTGCAGACAAAGGTTAGAAAACAAACATGTATCGACAGTGTTTTCAGACACATGTCGCATACAAGGGAACCAACAACTTTAGGCAACTTGGCCGGACGGACCGACCTGCTCTGATACCACTAATGTAACACCCTTTTTCTAACCCAAAATTTATCAAGACAAAATAACACAAATATCAGAGTGAATAATTAAATCTCATTAAAAAGCCACTAAAAGGGCGTACATTTCTCAAAGTCATCAAAATAGGTCCATACTCCGTAACTACGGGTTTTCCTCAAAGTACATCAAAACATCATAAAACAGTGGAACTTCAAGCATAAGTCAAAGTATTCCTCAAAAGGGAAAATAAGGAAAATAACCCACTAATATAAAATCAACTCAAAGAACCCAACCCAATGTTACATATCAGAGCAAGACTCTCTAAGCAACTAAAAGACTAAAACGCTCAAAACACTTCAAAACACTCCTCGGCGGCGTCCACAGCTAAACTGGCTCATCTGCATGTTATCCACGTGAGGTAACATTCAAACAGGCAGGGTGAGTAAAACAGTTCATAATAATCAATGTATGACAATTAGTGCATAAATGGCATTTTACTCATAATTATTATTATACACAATCACATTACTCAATTATTCAACACATTGATATCCTTATTCAACATAATCATATTACTCATATTCAACACATTGATATCCTTAAAGTGCCTCAAAGGCCACAACGTCATAATTCATACAAAAGACTTCTCAATGGAATGCGACACAACTCAATGCATGTGGTACCAATCATCACAGCTCGATGGACACTGGCCATCAACCCTCCATAGATCCCCATCAATAGGATTGGAGCACATCTCAATACTTCACATCCACACAATGGGATTTAAGCCACAATACTCAAAGCCCATAACCGAAGTCCGAATGCACATGAATGCATTATGCACACGTCACAATAAGAATCCTCACAATAACATCACAGGTGCATCATCATTCGTCATGTTCATCATCATCACACAAAACATCACAGTCCATGTCATCACATGGTTCATCACAATAATCATCATCATCACATAAACGTCACACCATCATGTTATCACATAGTTCATCAAAGTAATCATCATAATACATCATCTCATCATAGCTCATAATAATAATCATCATTATTCGTCACGTCATCACAGCACATCATAATAATCCTCATCACACATCGTTTCATCATATAATTCATCAAACTAATCATTATCGCACGCAATGTTATCATATCTCATCATAACAATCATCATCGTACAACATATCCTCATATCTTATCATCATAATCATCATACATCATATTATCATAATTCGTCATATTAATCATCATACGTCATATTATCATAATATTAATTCATAATATTATCTCATATTCTCTCATATCATTTCATCAAATCATACTCACGGTAATCCTCATACTATCGCCTATTAATCACACAACCTCACCGTCATACTCATGTTATCATATAGCTCGTCAATTCATAGTAATTTCATCAAGTTAATTCAATCAATATATCGTAGAAATCATCTTAACATCATGTACATCTCACGCAAAACCCACCGTCATAATCACAGCAACCCATCACAAAAATCACAGAATCAAAACATCAAGACATCATTGAACCAGAACATGATTCGTTACTAAAACATATACACAATTGAATTCTCAAACATAATTAGATATAAAAATATTAGGAAAACAATTCCATTATCTATCCTATGTTATACCTCTATTCATTAGCTTTCCAACGCTTTGAACGGGGGTCAAAACGGACTTACGAATCCAAAGTTACGTCCAAAATAATTTCGACCGAAAACATGAACAGTCGTGACGGACAGAAAGACGCTGTTACGCTCCAGAACTGATTTTTACTCAATTATTCTTACGAATCACTCACTCAACGTACCCAAAACATCATTAAACATTCCTAAGGTTATATGGCAATAACATCACAACTTCTGTGGTTTATTAGGCTCATCTGGCAACATTTGCAACGCCTAAAACACTATTTCCTGCAATTACTCTGAGTACTTCAGAGTTACTCACATTTGAATATTCTTATTCCTATTGGGACAACATGTCACAATTTTTCCTTCAATTACACCCTATGGCATTAAAATTACTTACTATCCAATATTTAATCCCTTCAAGGTCAGACATATAACAATGTCAAGCTTTTGGCCACGAAGGCCTAAGGTTTCCCACAATTACATATCAAACAGTCAAAAATATTGACCACTAATCCTACGGGTTTTGCCATAAAGGCCTAAGGTTTTCCATAAATTTTATGTTAATATTCAACGATACATACCATTTGGTCATTTGGCCATCCTATCAGAATCTTACGATTACTTCCCTGTTTCCCACAATTAATTCCAAATCCCTAAACCTTACATCAACCACAAATATACCGAAAATCTTACATAGAAAACTATGAAAAGCAACACTCCTCATACCTTAGCCGATGCACAGCCTTCACGATTACTTCAGGAATCTTCCGAAGCTTTTGCCTCCAATTCTCCCTCCTCAGAGCTCTGGCCTCCATTCTTTTCACGGTTAACAAATGAATCTCGATTCCCTTTAGAATTCTATTTTGTTAAATCTCACAATTTGGGCTTTTTCCATAATATCCTCACAAACTCCTCCAATCGCCCAAATTGCCCTTATTTCCCTTATTTCAATTTAATTAATAATAATACTAATAAATTAATATTATATGCTATTAATTAAATAAATACCCAAAAATGCACATTTTCTTAATAATTCACCAACCACCCGAAAATCACCGAAAACGAATATTCTTAATTAAATAATTAATTAAAATACTCCAATTAAATTTGGGGTGTTACAGGGTTTACCTGCAAGACACTCTGATGCCAAAATGAGAGAGGACCAGAGTGAATCAAATACAGAGAGAAGGTTGAGAATTGAATACCTGACCCTCTAGTGAAAGATGATATTTATAGCGAGACCCCAGCGCAGGGCCAACTGTCACTTGTGTTGGGCTAGATTGACAGACCCAACTCAAGGGACTGCTAGGGCTTACGTGGCGTAGTGAATGCCAGGACGTGGTCTTCGCCCTAGCTCAATTGCCCCGTGATCTCCGGAAGGTGGGCTGACCTTCTCTTTCGGAGGTGAATAGTTATCTGGTGACGTGTCCCCGCGGAGGGGAGCATGTGGAAAACGTGGGAGGCACACGTCTTTCTGCCCGACAGGGGGAAGTGTTTTGCCCGGCAATGCAATGTATGGTCGACGGGAGCCTTGTGCTCGACACATATGAGGAAGGATCCGTTGGGCCTTTCCCCAAGTATAGGTGGGTTGGGCCTTCCCGGTCAGGTCGGGGCCCAGGCCATAACAGAAACCCTTGGGTGCGAGGAATGATAAGAAGTAGTGAGAGTCGTCAACTTTGACTGCGGTTTCTTCTTTTGCAAGAGGTCATTGGATCTCCTCATCTATTATGGCATATACAACGATGGATTTTTCTACCTGACAGAGTCAGACGACGGTGAAGTCACCGAAAGCGAGTTCGACACTGTATTCTTTATCGATGAGGTTGAGAATGGTGTCAGGGATCTTAGTGAGGATCTCTTCGGTGGTTTCCAGTGGTGCTAAAGGAGAATTGGGAGTGTCAACGGTGGGGGCGACATCGTCCAGGAAGAGATTCTGAACGAGGTCGTTGAAGTCGATTGAAGGACAGAGATTTGATTGAGAAGAGGAAGAAGGATATGATGGAATATCAGGGTTGGATTCGATCACTTCGGGGTAGAGTGAAGTTATATGATCAGGGTTTTGAGTAGCCATTGAAATTTGAAATGTGATGAATGAGCATTGAATGGTTTGGGTTTGTTGCTGTGTGAAATGGTTTTTTTTCCAGGTCGTTTGGCATTGTGAGGTTTCACTGGAGTGTTGTTTGTGAAGGCTTGCGTTTAGCTCATGTGAAGTAGCAGCTGCGACGTCTTGGCTTGGCTTCATTGTGACGACTTCATAATCTTTTGTGCCAAAAAAATGTGTAGAAAATGCATTGGAATTTTACTTGATGGAACTTATTTTTGGCAATTGTTTGCTCTTCTTATTTTTATGTAATGGACTTTCTTGAAATTGATTTAGAATTTTACAACTCTGAACCTTGAACAAACATGAATTTTGAATCTTGGATGTAATTTGAATTTTGAATGTAAAAAAAAACTTTGAAAAGAAATTGGAAATTTGTAGTTTGAATGGAGATGAAAAATTGAGATGAACTTGGATTGAATTGAAAACAAAAATTGATTGAAATTTAAATGCTTGAACTTGGTTGAAACTTGATTTGGATTGAAGTGGAATTGAAATTGGAATTTGGAAAATGTTTGCATTTAACTTGACTAGAACTTGAACTTTGATGTTTGAATTAGAATGACATTGAATTAGAACTGATTTAAAATTGAAACTTGAGACTGATGTGGGATTGAATTTGAACTAAGATGGATATTAGATGGAATTGCTTTAAAAACGAGAAAGATGGGTTATGTATATGGACGACTTTTGTTACTTGAATACTAAGAAATCCACATGACCAATCACACTTCCAATCTAAATCAAGCTTGCATTCTTAATGATTCTCCAGCTCTGATCTCAAATCCATATTGACTTGCATTACAAGCAACAAGCAACTAAGAGAACAAAAATGCCTTGACCACAATATGAGTCCACAACTTGATCTCATGCATCATGACCCGATGCTTCATCCATCCATAAGATATCCTGCCTTTATGACCAATGACTTAAGCCAAAATCACATAAACCTCAATCAATACCACACATCACTGCCTTAATAGCCTCAGATGAACTTGGACTTGGGCAAGAGAGAAAAAAAAGCAGAAGCAACATATTCTGGATTTTTGAATAATAATTGTGGAATGGAAGTGCAGATGAAAATTATATAGGTAGGACAAATTTAGGGCATGACACCCGTGTATTTGAGAGTGATGTCCGCCATTAGTTGCTTGGAGCTTTCTGGAAAATAACATGAATAAAGAGAATCATTATCACTTTTAGAACTACTAGTGATTGCAAAACTCCCAAACACGCCTTTTCTAAGAGCTTATAGTTGATTGAACCTTCCACCCGTACAACATTCCTTATGTAACGGAGATACATTTATGACCACTCTCTATTGTTCGAAGGATATACCATCTTACCATTTTCATCTAAACCCTAATTATCGCCATTGAGAAGGAAGTGAGTAAAGAAGAGTAAAAACCTATGTCTGTAAATGAGGGAGTGAAAGTTGTATTTAGTAAGTTTGGAAGCGAGTTTGCTCAGAGCTTTATGAAGGTCCAAATGAGAGTTTAGAGGAGAAAGTATATGAAAAAAGAGAAAGTGAAGGCTGAAACCCTTTTTATAGAGATTTGAAAGTTAGACCTAGTAGGTAATAATTAACCTCTCACTATATACATCAATGGTTGCTAAAAGGCTCCTCACGTCTTTGACACTTGCAAGAAACCAATAATGGTTTATCTTTTCAATACAAACCCATCATTAGTTGTATTTAGTGTCGTACATGCGCTTGTCTGTGACACTTAAGGGACTCGTCCCAAGCTCTGCTGGAGGGATTCGCCCCATGTTCTACTTGTGGGACTCACCCAAGTCATGCTTGAGGATTTCGCACCAAGTTCTGCTTAAGGTACTCACCCTTAGGGACGACCCAAAAGGATCATTGAGGGTTAGCCCAAGCATGAAGATTGGAAACAGTCAAAATAAATCACTTTGTCCTTTACAAGCCATTGTGCTTTAGGAGCTATATATGTATTGTTATAATTATATTGGGCCTTAAGACAGACAACTCACGTAAGGAAGGTAAAACATGCTGATAAGGGCGAGTTTCCCTATGGAGCCATAGGACTCCCTAATTGGGGCATGACATCTCCTGGATCCTAGTAGTCGTCTGGCGTCCGCTAGTTGGTTTCGGCCCACCTGAACTCACTTCCATTATCCATTTGCCTAGTGAACGTAGGAGTTGGTGTGCCCCATCATAACAGACTGAGATAAAGTTTCAAAGATAATTGTCATTCTCTTAATATGAGGGGTGATAACTCTCTTACTCTCCACGTTTCAGAGAGAGGAATGAAGTTTATCACTCTCTAGCACATGCCCAAATAGCTTCTCCAAATACCTCAGGCTTACAACTGGAAAGAGAAGATCATTTTATCTCAAAAAACGTAAATACAAAGTTTATCATCACTTTGCATGAGTTAGTTGTAAACCCTTCAACAATCCTAAACAACAAATACAATCCTCCAATTCCAAAGACATCCTTATTATATTTTTTTAACAAGTACAAACATCTAATATGCTTTTAATAAACATAAGTAAATAATAATAGTTAGATTAAAAGACTACGATTATTGAATTTATATAAAATTATGTTTGATTATTAATATAATATAAAAATAATAAGCTGACGTTTATAAATAATGAATTTTTAAGTGAAATGATTGATTTTAAAGTTATTCATGGAGTTAACATATTCTCAAAATAATATCCGATTATATTTATTGAAAAAATTTACATTTTAAATTTATTGAATAATGAATATGTCTAGTCTATTATATATATTAAATATATTAATTATTAAAAAAATTTATAAAAAGAATAAAAAGAAGTATTAGATATTTAAAAAAATTAAAAATTAAAAAAATTAAATATAAAAAAAAATTAAAATAAAAAGTGCAATTTCCAAAATGATATTTCCATATTCTATGTTTTAACGTACACCATGTTAATGCGTAAAAAAAAACATACAGTGTGTTAATATTTTTCCAATAATGATAAGTATAATAAAAAATAATTAAATTATAACATTTTTCTTTTTTCTATTATTTAATATTTTCTTATTGATTTTAATAATTATTGTCCATTTTAACTTTTTAATAATATTTATTTTAGTCTCATACAAAAAGAAATGAGTTTACCTTTTATTAAAAATAAAAACATAAACTACACAAAAGATAATAGTAGGTATGATAACATAAACTAGATTTTTCTTGTTTATTTTATTGTATAAATTATTATTTAATTTTTAATATTAAATATATGACTAATGTTTTGATATTCTGATTTGTTTTTATTATTTAAAATATGTGTTTTAAGATTATTATATTTTATTAATTATAATATAATTTAGTATTAAAAAAAGTAAATATTTTAATTAAAAAGTTAATTTCACTAAATAAATAGTGGTAGAACGAGAATACTTAAATTTAAGTCAAACTTATTTAAGACGAGTTTAGATTTGAGACGGAAAATAAAAATTATTTAAAAATTTAAATTTGAATTTGAAAGGAGTGAAAACCGTTCGGTGTCATGCCTACACAACAAAAATAAATAAAACAAATTAAAACGAATAAAAACTAAAATACTAGGAATAAAAGATAAAAACTAAATACTAGAAACAAATAACAATAAAACAGCATAATCTATTGGATAAAACAACCAAGTGGTGTCGACCGGAACAATACACGGTACTTCAATTCACTGCAGTTACGCAGTCCCTGTAATCATGCAGCCAACCTCTCATTACCGTTCGATCAAGATCAGACATTCTGAATTATAATATAAAAAATTAACTTTATTTTTTCTAAATAGTGTGATTAATATCAAATGGTTAATAATACAGTAACATCATAGAATCTAATTCCGAATATAAAGGTTGTCGTTTTTGTGACGATGATGTCACGTGTTCAACGTAGTTTTGTTATATAGTTCCTAAACAAAACAAACCAACCATGAAAATTCTTTGTTTTTCGTAACCATTCATAGAAAAATCCTCAAATTCTGTTTCTCTGTAATATCCCCTCTCCAATAAATTCTCACGTCTCTCTTCTTCTCTTTCACTTTCATTCATATATGCTCTCTTCTTCTCTTTCTCTTCACAATTTATAACTAGCATTTCATCATCTTTCTCTTTTGCTTAGCAACAAAGTAATCAGTTATGGCTCCAAATTTATCTGATAAGAAGGAGAGGCTTCTTCCAGTGAAGGGGAGTGATATTGTTGGTGTGCAACAAGAACAAGAACAATCTAGGATGATGAGTTTTAAGAAGAAAGTGAAACGTGTTGCTAACATGGCGTATGAAATGGGTCGTTCTGATCCGAGGAAGATTATTTTTGCTGCTAAAATGGCTCTTGCTTTGACTCTTATATCACTTTTGATTTTTCTTAAAGAACCCTTTAAGGATATGACTCGTCACTCTGTTTGGGCTATTCTAACCGTTGTCGTCGTATTTGAATTCAGTATAGGTAATTCTATTTTCATGGTTAATAATTTGTTTTTTAGTTTTATATCATCGCATGTTATATGTTTGATTTTATGCAGAAGATAGTTCATCCCGTTAATCCATGCAAAATCTTTTTCTTTTTATATAACAATTGTTGGTAGACTTTACTTACTTTACTTATTTATCGTATTGATTGCGTTCGTTCAATTTTGCAGGGGCGACATTGAGCAAGGGGTTTAACAGAGGGTTAGGGACGTTATCGGCCGGAGGACTTGCGGTAGGAATGGGAGAGTTATCGGCATTGGCCGGTGATTGGGAAGAAGTTATAGTTATTGTTAATACTTTTGTTGTTGGATTTTGTGCTACCTATGCAAAGCTTTATCCAACTTTGAAGCCTTATGAGTATGGTTTCCGCGTGTTCTTGATTACTTATTGCTACATTACGGTATCGGGTTATCACACGGGTGAATTTCTTGATACATCTATAAGTAGATTTTTGCTCATTGCACTTGGTGCTGCTGTATCCTTGGGAATCAATGTCTGCATATATCCTATCTGGGCTGGTGAGGATCTGCATAATCTTGTGACCCAGAATTTCATGGGTGTTGCAACTTCTTTGGAAGGTATTTTTTAACATTTTTCTTATGATCACGTTTTGTTTGTATTCACTATATAATATCATGTGAGAGCAAGCCTCGGTGCAATGGTAAAGTCGATGTCTTGTGATTTGGAGGTCACGTTTTCAAGTTCTGAAAACCGTCTTTATAGTTATAACTATATCAGATTGCAATTGCTGCATTGTGATCAATGTTGCAACAATGATTTAAAAGCATATTTGGCAGTAGATTTTTTTGGTATGAATCAAGTATTTTTCTGCGCGCAACCCTCATGGGTTGACCTGTTGGTGAAGATTTGAGACCTGAGTGTACTCCTTTCAAGGTCTAAGGTCATATGTGCATCTGCAACCACAATTTATATCTTTGGGAATGAATTGAGTTTTATTTAGTTTTCTGCTGCTTAATCTTGTTTCACGGATTGCTTGAATTGAACAACTTTGTTGAACTTGTTTTCAGGGGTTGTGAATCACTATCTTAATTGTGTTGAATACAAGAAAATTCCATCCAAAATTCTAACATATCAAGCTGCTGCTGAGGATCCAATTTATAGTGGCTACAGATCAGCTGTTGAATCTACAAGTAACGAGGACTCATTGGTACCCTATCTACTTCATTTTTCTGTCTCTTTCATGATTATTCTATTTTTCATTGTAAATTATTCATTGACACACGTGTTATTGATCGAAGTTGGGATTTGCTGTGTGGGAACCACCTCATGGTCGATACAAAAGTTTTAATTATCCATGGAAGAATTATGTCAAAGTAAGTGGAGCTCTTAGACATTGTGCTTTTATGGTCATGGCCATGCATGGATGCATACTTTCCGAAATTCAGGTACTTCTAATCATTTGCAAACTTTTCTGTATAACTGTTTTTGTTCTCATTGTATAGCGTACGAAACTTAAATTTTGTTTTCGATCTGATGAAAATACTAAACTTTCTTCTTGATATATAGGCTCCAGCTGAGAAGAGACAGGTTTTCCGCAATGAGCTTAAGAGGGTAGGTTCCGAAGGAGCAAAAGTGTTGCGCGAACTTGGAAACAAAGTCAAGAAGATGGAGAAACTAGGCAGGGGAGATTTGTTGTACGAAGTACACGAAGCTGCCGAAGAATTGCAACAAAAGATTGATAAAAAATCTTACCTCCTAGTAAACTCAGAGCTTTGGGAAATTGGAAGTCGTCCCAAAGAAGAAACCGATAACAGTAATTCTAAGGGCCTCTTTGACATGGAACAAGATAGAAAATTTCGAGAGTACAAGTCTCTAAGTGAAGCTGTACTTGATCTTAGATCGATTGAAGTTCAAAACAGTTGGGATGGAAAAACTACCGATAATAATAATTTTTCAGCCGTGCCTGCTTCTATTGCCAATGAAAACACGTCTATGAAACCGCCACAGACTTGGCCTGCTCATGTTTACTATAAACCAGATGCGAAGGCGAAAGTCGAAGAATCGAAAACTTTAGAAAGTGCTAGTTCGTTGTCTCTAGCGACGTTTACGTCGCTTCTAATTGAGTTTGTAGCAAGGCTTCAAAACTTGGTGGATTCATTTGAAGAATTGGGTGAGAAAGCTAACTTTAAGGACCCTCTTGAACCGGTTGTGGTGACCTCTGCTGGATTTTGGACCAGATTGTTCAACTGCTTCAGATCATAGAATTATTTGCAGTAACTGCATCGTTGAATCCGCTTTGACAGTTGCGAGAGAAATCATTAGAGCTAGAGCAAATACTTTACTTTTTTACATTGTATTTATAAAATGTATACAAATTTTTTGATCTATACCATAATATCAGAAAAGAATACAATTTTTAGTTTGGTGTCTTGAAAACTACAAGGGTGCTTATAGTACAACTTTCCATTAGTTCAATCCTTCCTTGAACTATAATAAACTCGACTCGTCATGTTGCTTCCCCGTGAAGACGATATTTTGGCATGGCAAGTAAGTGCTTGGCTCTTGGGATTGAGAGACCAAATTTTTCTGTCATGTCCAAATCATTTGGAGTCATATTCGAGGGAAGTTCCCAAGAAAAACAATGTACCAGTTGAGCGACAACAAGTTTAACCGTAATAAGTCCCAAGTTTATTCCAGGACATCCTCTTCGACCAAAACCGAATGGTATAAACTGGAAATCATTTCCGCGGTAATCTAAATTTTTGTCCACAAATCTCTCTGGATAAAATTCATCTGCATTATCAGACCATACCTTAGAATCTCTTCCTATCGCCCATAAATTCACAATTATTCTTGATTTCTTTTGTAGAAAATAACCATCAACCGTAGCATCCTCCATTGACTCGCGTGGCACGAGTGGTCCCGCGGGATATAATCTTAGAGTCTCCATGATCACAATATCTAAGTAACTTAACTTTGACAAATCATTTTCCTCCACCATTTTGTTCACCCCAACCACATTATCTAACTCTTGTTGAAGATTTTTCATCACTCTTGGATGTCTCATGAGCTCGGCTAAAGCCCACTCCACGACGGTTGCAGAAGTTTCGAATGCACCAGCAATCATGTCTAAGACTATAGCCTTTATATTTGTTCGGTCAACGACATTGTTTTGTTCGTGAGACGAATCGATCGGCTGGTTCATCCGTGACAGTAGAATGTCGACAAAGTCCTTATGCTTCTGTCCTCCATTCTGTACATCTGAATTTTCTTCATGCTCCTTAACTATCTTCTCCAACACTTGGTCAAGTTCTTTATGAGTTCTCTTGTACCTTCTTCTTAAACCCTAACAATAAAAGTCAATGCAAAGTTATTCAAGTCAGAAAGTCTTTGATTTGAATTAAAAAAAACTCTTGTAGACATGATTCAAGTCAGATATATCCTGACTCGAATCATGATTCAAGTCAAACACATGCTTGACTCGAATCATCAAGGCCGTCTTTAAAGGTATACATACCTGAAGATCAAAAACTCGAAGAAAAGGAACATAATCAGCAAGATTAAAAGCACCAGAAAGGTTCATCCCTTGTTGAATTAGCCTCTTCAAATCAAAAACCTCGTCGATACTACACCCCAACACCATCTTACATACAATATCCATTATAACATCATGCACAAACTCACTCACATCAACAACCTCACCCGAGCTCGCAGCTTTCTTCAACAACTTCATAGCTAACTCCATTTCCGTCTTTCTCAAAGACGCAAACGACTCGACTTTAGAAGCACTTAAAAGCTGCAGAGTACAAATCTTCCTCATGTTACGCCAATACGCGCCATATTCAGAGAAAACCAACCCCTTAGAACCGTAAGCTAGGTAGTGCGTGGCTTCGAGTTTTGGACGGCTGGCGAAAGCAAGATCATTTGCTTTGAGGAATTGTTCAGCTGCTGAAGATGAAGAGACTATAACAGTTGGAACTTGTCCTAACCGGAGTGACATGATGGGACCATGTTTTTTGGACAAGGCTTCGAGGGAACGGTGTGGCAGGGTGCCTAACATGTGGAGGTTACCGATGACAGGATAGCCCGGTGGACCGGGCGGATGTTTGCTGTCATGTTTGGGTTGTTTTGGACGGAGGAAAAAGGTGGTGGTGATGATGAGAACGAAGGTGAGTGTGAAAAAGAGGAATAATGGTATCATGTTATGGTTGAAAGTTGAAAATGGAACTTGTGTTTCTGGTTTATCATAAGCAGGTAGGTTTTAATAATGTGGTAGTTGGTTTTAATATATGGGTAATGTTATTGCATCTTAATAACATTATTTTTGAGACTCTTTCAACGAATTAAACTCACGTGAATGAATTTCATATAATAAGATTCACGTGAGTTTTATCCGATAAAATGAATTTCATATAATAAGATTCACGTGAGTTTTATCCGATAAAAGAGTCGGTGTTTAAAAAAAATATACATTTAAGAAAGAGTGTTATAATATTACTCTGTTATATATTCATAATTAAAATAGTTGATGTAAAATATATTAAAAAGTGTGAATGAGTTAAAGTAACATTGTACTGAACATTGAAATTGTCAATTACTTTGATATTGGACTAGCAAACAAACAAACATGTAAATTGACGGAATGAAAACTAAAGAATAATACATCTGTAAGAAATTGACTATTTCTTGAAGCAGCCCTATTTTAATACACCATAGGAATTTTAAAAGATTTTTCTTTTTTTGGAAGATCCATTTTCGAACCTATTTTTTAAACACATTTTATTTGTTTTTAAATCATATTTAAATCTATTAAATTTCTAGGCCATGAAAGGTTCAATAAGCGTGATCTAATGTCTTTAGATAAAAAATTAAAACAGAATTAGTGAATGACAAGTCGGTAGAAGGGAGATATCGTTCATCTTCAGGGGCTAAAGTATTAGAGCATCTCCAATGGTGCAACCCATTTTTAGGTTCTTTGTGGGACCCACTGTTTTAAAGCAACTCATTCAATTTTCACTCCAATGGTGCAACTCTAAAGAATCTATATTGGGTCCCACCACTTTACTTAAAAAATATTATTTATATTAAATTTATTTTATTTAAAATTATAATTTAAATATTTAAATTTTAATTAAAATGATAATTAAAATAATAAATAAAATTTTATATTAAATTATAGTTTTTATATTATAAAATTAATATTTTAATATAAGAACCATTGAAGAACCGTTGCATATTTAAGAACTTTTTCATCTTGAAAACAACAAATATGAGTGCCATGTTGGCAAACCCACTCTAAGAACTCCCATTGGAGTTGGTCTTACTCTCTTCGTTTTAATATAACTGTCGTTTAATTTTTTTTTACACAGATTAAGGAATGCAATGATATTGTCATAAAATATTGGACTTTTACTAAATTAGTCTTATTAATGTGTTGAAAATAACGTATAGAGTAATAATTACATGACACAATTGAAAAAATAGTAATTATTACTATATTAAAAAGTGAGAATGACATTCATTTTAAAATAATTTTTTTCTTTTTAAAACGACAGTCATTTTGAAACAGATGGAGTAGTACTAATGACGGGTGAAAACTAAAAAAGATATATATCTCCATCCTAAATTATAAGACTTGTTTGACATTTCACACGAATTAAAAAATTTAATTATTACTTTATGAAAAAGACAAATTAAGTACGATTTTCACTAATGCCCCTTAAAATTACACAAGAGAGAAACTAAAAGAGTTAAATGAATAAATAATAATAAATACTTGAGAGTATATTAGGGAAAGTATCATTAATATTGCATTGGAAATGTATAGTAATTTATAATTTGAAACCAATTTATTTTACAAAATGACTTATAACTTGAGATAGAGAGAATATAATTTTTCATAATACTTTTCTTCGTGGGGACCTTCTCCTTCTGGATTTTGCTAACAAGGACAAGATAATACGACACGTATCATAACTAAGGAATTTTAACAATTCTAAAAATATATTTTTAGAAATTTTTCAAAAAAATTTTTTTAAAATAAATTTATTTATAAAATTTGGGTGTGACTCAACAACGAATAAAATGAGTGCAAAAGATGCGTCCGAAAATATATCTTCGAGAGATATTTTTTAAAATTCACGTAATGCATTAAAAAACATATAGAATGTTAAAATAAAAAAATAAAAAATAAACAGTTTTGCTATTCTTACACCAAGTGTACACTTACACCGTATGAATAGTGCAAATATATTAAGAAAATAACAAAGAGTACAAGCTTGCCATGAAACATCATTTTCTTCTGTGAGCCATAGTCAAATGAAGAAATTTATTGTTTCTCTCTTAACCTCAACCACATGATGTACTTTATAACATAAACATAAAATATGGCTAACTCATTATTCTTCTTGTTCTTGATCATTCATGCCATTTCGTAGCAGCTCTTCTCCAACTTGTCTCTTCATTTCATCTTCAACTTTTCTTTTCATTTCATCTTCAACTTTTCTTTATTTAGAATCATTATATTGTGAAGATGAAGATTTAACTCAGAAAGTTTCTAGATTCATGATCGTTCATATGTTTTTAGATTTAGCACAATGTTTACCTAATTTTCTTTACTGTTATTAATTTCATATTTATTAACGATTATTCATTAACCATGTTCTAAAAAGTATTGCCCTATTTTACTCACACCATTAACCATGTTTATCTACTGCTAAACGATTGCATATATTTACTCATGATGGTTTGTTAACCAATTTGGGAAATGTATTACCCAACTTCTGTCACACCACTAACCAACTTCATAATAAACAATGTTATAAACCTGCCCACATGTCTGGGCGTTCATTAACCAAGTTATAGATAATATTAACCATAATTTTGAACTATATTAACCAACGTTGTTATAAATTTATACTATACATAATATTGACATTTATGTGCGGTTTTTAAGTGATAATGGACAGTTTAAGCATTTTGATAGAATGTGATAGTAATCAAACGGAAGATGTAGAAGTTGATCACGGTGATGGTGATGAATCACTTTGGGTTCCTGCAATTGGGATGTGTTTTTCATGTCTAGAGGAAGTTAAAACATATTATCAAAAGTATGCTTTGAAAAAGGGGTTTGGACAAAGGATTAGATCATTGAAAAAAGGAGACGACGGGGAGCTCAATTACCTGATACTTTCATGTTCAAGAGAGGAGTCTAACATTTCAAAAATTTCATGCACGTTGAAGACACTTCCATCTAGAGCGAAAAATTGCCCTGCCAAGATTTGTATTAAATTAAAACAAGATAGTTTGTGGTACATTACACAACTTGAGGCAAACCATTCTCATGAGACTAGTCCTACAAAAACAAGATTGTTCAAGGCTAACAAGAAAATGAACTTACATGTAAGAAGAACAATTCAAATCAATGGTGATGCGGGAGTAAGGATCAATAAGACTTTTCAATCACTTGTTAAAGATGCAGGAGGGCATGAAAATATTCCCTTTTGTGAAAAAGATGTGAGGAATTATATTAACAAAGAGTGTCGTGTGATTAGAAAAGAAGGTGATGGTAAGGCTTTGATAAGTTATTTTTATGAAATGAGGGAACAAAGTACAAATTTATTTTATGACATAGATTTAGATGATGATTTTCATGTGAGGATTAATATATTTTGGGCGGATGCAAGAAGCAGAGCCGCGTACGAATACTTTGGAGACGTTGTAACTTTTGACACAACATACTTGATGAACAAGTATGACATGCCTTTTGCTGCATTCGTGAGTGTGAATCACCATGGTCAATCAACATTACTTGATTGTGGATTGCTATTAGGTGAAGACACAAATTCTTTTGTGTGGTTGTTCAAGTCATGACTTCGTTGTATGTTAGAAAAAGGACCTTTGGGCATTATGACCGATCAGTGTAAGGCCATGAAAAATGCTATTGAGTTAATATTCCCTACAACTCGTCATAAGTGGTGTTTATGGCATATAATGAAAAAAGTTCCAGAAAAGCTTAGCGGGTATGGGGAATATAAAAGGATCAAGTATGCAATGAAAGAAGCAGTGTATGATACGTTCACAACATATAGCTTTGAACAAAAATGGTGTTCGTTCATAGAAAAATTTGACCTCCATGAAAATGATTGGTTGGGTAGGTTGTATACTGAGCGTCATAGATGGGCACCAACGTTGTTAGGGAAATATTTTTGGGCTGGTATGTCAACTATGCAACATAGTGAGAGCATGCATGCTTTCTTTGATGGATATATCAATTATACAACAAGTCTAAATCATTTTGTGAAACAATATGATAATGCTCTTAGAAGTCAGGCAGAAAAGGAATTTGAAGCTGATTTTAATTCGATGGACACAATAATTCCATGTGGGTCAAACTCGTCCATTGAGAAGCAATTCCAAAGTGGATTTACTAATGCCAAATTCAAGGAAGTTCAAGTGGAATTCAGATCTAAGATGAATTGTTCCGCCTCATTAAATAGTGTGGAAGGTTGCCTTACTATGTATCATGTGTTAGAGGAGATACTAGTTGGAGACTTACGCAAATAGCGAGTCTTAAAAGTTGCGCTTAATAAGGAAAACCATGATTTCAAATATGAATGCTCATTATTTGAGTTTCAAGATATTGTATGTCGGCATGTGTTATCCGTGTGTAGTCAGGAGAGAATTATAAGTCTTCCAGAGAAGTATGTTTTATCGAGATGGAAGAAAAACATTAAAAGGAAGCATTCATATATCAAGACTAGTTATGGTGTAACAGAGCTGAAGCCACAAATGGACAAGTTTGACAGATTATGCTAGCATTTTTATGAGGTTGCTAAAGTAACTGCTGAGTCGGAAGAGACTACCGAAGACCTCCATGAAACATTACACTTGTTTAGCTCTAATATGTCCACAAAGGATAGTGCACTTATTGAAGAAAATGGTGATGAGGATTCTAATGCAATCAATAGTAATAGAATTCGTAGTCCAAAACATGTCAAGCGAAAATGTCGTCCTCCATCTAAAAGAAAGACATTTGTCGCTGAAACGATTACTAAGAGGTCAAGGAAGCGAACAAAAAAAATGATCACATTGAGCTTACTACGGTATGTCTATTTTCATGCATAAATGATATCTTATACAAATGGTTGTGTATATGGAATCTAAATATTTTGTTTCTCTAACTGTAAGAGTGCAACATTG